ATGTCCGGTGGGAAGAATGAGCATATAGAAAGGGCTTACCATTGCGTTCCTCAGGTCTAAGGCTCTTCTTTGCAACTTCTGCCAATGCCCCAATGCCAAGACCAACAGCTAGTCCTTTAAAATAAGAAAAAGACCCAGGTTGGAATTAAAAAAAACCTTCTGAACCACATAGAGAGGCATTTTTGTAATTAACCTTAAGCCACACAGTCAAATGCACAACATCAAAACAGATTGATTAGAACATCCTGGCTTTTGCAATGGAGTCATCTTCAAGTTTGACACTGAACTGTTTTCTCCTGTACCTCAGCTCAGCCTGCCAGCCAGGTATCACAGGCTACATCAGCCTGCGATCAGGCTGGAGGCTCTTATAAAACACATCGAGTGCTACTCAGAGCTCTGTGCTCTGGATGGGGCTCTGCTGTGGACTCAAACTGGGGGGTTTAGAAGGAGGAGAGGAAGAAAGCTCACAAACATGGTTCCCAAAGTACAATTCTCAGGAAAGAACAGAACTTCCTCACCCCCCCACCATGCCACCACAGTAGGGGGAAGCAAAACTGCATTTAGATGAAGCTACTGCCTGTAGAGTTTAAGGCGCTGGGACCCTACTGTCTCAGCACTCAGGTATATTTGTGCTCATTAGCTGTCTTTGACTTCCATGTGCTTGTTGACTATGATGAACAGAAACATGTTTTTCCTGAGGCCCACCTTATCTAAGTAATGTTGGAACCTGCAATTCCAAGGAGCTGTGCTGGGGAGTAACCTCACACAGCAACAGTAAGACCATGAGACCAAACACCAGCACTCCACATGCACTATCACCCTTGCAAGCAGTGAATTCTAGGGCGTTCTCTCACAGCCGCAGATTAAGCTATGACTACAAAAGAAGCGTTATCTGCCTCTACTAACCTGATCAAAGCCACCGAAGATACTAAATGAGCCGCAGATTTAATCACACAGTAATACATACTACCAAAGGTCTCACTGCCTTACCCATTTCAAAATATTTATTTTTCTGGATAATAAATGCCATGGGCAACCAGAACAGCTGGTGCTCCCTCACAGCTCCTCAGCAATGGTTCATCCCACGAGGCCTTTCTCCCAGACCACTGGCAGTACTCGGTGTGCACATTTTCCAAGCACCCTAAGCCCTCCTTGAGGCACTACTGGACAGTTTCCCAGGCAAAACCACCAGGGGACACGGTCAGTATAATGAAGGAAGCATAGTGACCAGCATATGGCATTTTGGGCATGTATGCAGGAGGATACGCATGCATACGTTTTGTAGTCTCAAGCGAGGAAGCCTAGGCATGAGCAAGTTGAACCTCATTTGCACCAAGTTTTTCATCTCTCCCAGCAGGTAATTACAACCCCACCTCTACCAATTTCAAACTTGCACAGTATGTCTGCTTCAGAAACAGCTCCATCTGCAATCTTGAGGACTACGTGCACTGGGCCAAAGAATCCAGCATGAAGGTGAAGCACAGGAGGCACCAGTGACATTACAAGGCCTTTGTGAGGACTCCTTCCAGGGCTGCTCCCATGCCATTTAACTGTCAGACAACATTTCTTTCTTCATGGCACTTGAATGTTTAAGAGCATATAGCATAATACAGAAATTTACATTCAGAAAAAGAAATAAAAATTTCATAGGATGCCATGATCTTAACATTATACTTAAGATTAAAAAGATGTTAATTTTTTTTTAATTTCAGTTTTCCGTATCGTCTGCAAGTTTTCCTATGGACGTGCAGCACTGAAATGCCAAATATAAGCCTAAGGAAGTCTGCTGTTACTAGCTAACTTGTACAGACCCTTCAACAGTGCCAAGCCATGCATGACAACTTAGCAAGTCTTTTACACCAGAAATCCAGAGATTTTATTAGCTGGACAGAGTGAGAAAAATATCCCTAGGCTCCACAGGAAAGAAACAAAAAGACTTTTCAATCACACCATAAACAGTTTATATGAAAATGCTGATACATAGTCATCTCCAATCAGATCCCACATGCAAGACAGTAACTTGGAGCAGAAAGTACCAAGAGTCAGACAGGAAGCCAATGAAGATAGATCTCTCATCAACAAAATGTGATTTTCTACACTGACTACCACTCACAGAGTACTTCTCTTGGCCTTAATCCCATTTTCACCACCTCCAAAGCAAGGCTCCCCATCAGAATCAGCTTGGTCATTATCAGAGCTAGACTGAACTGGCAGTAATTGGTTCCAAATTAAATACATTGCATCTCCATCTAAAAGCTCTATGTTCACTACTGAGATTTACTGCCTGCACTTAAAACAAAACATATCTGAAGTTTCTAATCTCTGTGCATCATCAAGACACAAACCACTTTAAAGGCAAACAAAAGACTAGGAACCAGATTCTACTCTGTCTTCCAGAATAAAGCTGGTGAAGTTCTAGCATGCTCCAAAAGTAGCTTGCTGTTTACATCAGCATAGGCAAAAATCAGAGTCCAAACAAATGTGTCACACTTCCCCTCTTATGTACGTACACAGTTAAGCATCTGAACTAAACCAGCTGTAGGCTACACTAGAAAAAAAGCTTCTTTTACAAACAGGTGCTCTTAGAATTTGCTCACTGCTCCACTTTGTCCAATTTACTAGAAAATGAACTCAAATCATCACTGAACAACTGTTTCAAATAGACTAAAGCCAGGCATAAACCAGTTTACGGTTAAAAAGCTGCTATGGTTTAAAGATCTGAAGTTTAAACAAAGGCTTCAGGTGTCTTCAAACTCAATCACAGTGCGCAGCAGGATATTTAGCTCAGGGCATTACATGAAAATGCAGCATTCCTACTTCAAGTCTTCTAGTAACTACCTGGAAACATCTCAGGGCACACACAGCCCTGCTCTAAATGTGGTGGCAGGAGGATAGATAATCCTCTTGGGACTGTGCATGGTCAAGTGCATCTTGGGTGTTTGCTGTTTCTTAGCAGTCAAGCCTACATAAAAATGCAGTCAGCTGTGTATGTAACCCATCACTAAGAAACAGGTAACAATACAAAGCTGTGTTACTCAAAGCAATGCCAAAACTTGGTCTTTTCCCTGAACAGGCAGGGCTTAGAAAAAGCTGCCACTTTTCACAAGTCTCAGTTGCTCACTTTATTTCTTTGTTCTTACCAAGTTATCACCAGAAGAGCCATTAAATTAGGGAATTAAATAAAGGCCTAAATTCTTTATGGCTATAACTCCATCCACCAACATCAGTACTAGGGATCAGTCTGACCCTGATCTTCAGGAACGTATTACCTTCTCCTTTACCAACATGAACGAACACTGTGGCATTTGGAGCACACGCAGATCACACAACAAAAACCGGCGTAGAAAACTTCACCCTTCCTCATCTTACAAACCAGACCAAAGCTTTGGGATTCACAAAACAAGTAGTAGACAGGAGGCTTCAGAGCCACAACACTCATTTCCTGAAATGCCGCCAGAGTTGTCTTCCAGGCCTCTTTTATACACCCACCCCTCTGAAAGGCTGTGGTCAAGGCACATATTATTTGACCACAAATAATCCTGTGTACTGGGTCTGGCTGAGATAGGAGTTAATTTTCTTTGTAAGCAGCCTGTATCACGCTGTGTGTTGGATTTGTGACTAAAAGTGTGTATAACACCGGTGTTTTAGCTGTTGCTGGACAGTGTTTGTACAATGTCAAGGCTTTTTCCCCACTCTGCCCCTGCAACAAGTAGGCTGGGTGTGGGCAAGAGGCTGGGAGGGGACATGGCCAGGACAGCTGACCCAAATCGATCAAAGGGATATCCATACCATATGTCATGCTCAGCAGTAAAAGCTTGCAGAAAGGAGGATAAGGGGGGGATGTTTGGGGTTATGGTGCTTGCCTTCCAAAGGAACTGCTACAGACACTGACACCCTGCTTCCCAGGAAGCAGCTGGGCATCCACCTGCCAACAAGGAGTAGTGACTGAATTCCTCTTGCTGCTTTTGCTCACAGATGGAGCTTCACTTCACCTATTAAACTGTCTCTATCTCAACTCCCAAGTTTTCTCACTCTTGCTCTTCCTCTTTTGTCCTGCTGTGGGAGGAAATGAGTGAGCAAGCTGCATGGGGCTTAGCTGCCAGCCAAGGTCAACCCACCACATGCTGCCAACTTGTTACCGGGAACAGGTCATCCCTCCAAAGAACCTGCACAGCTGTAGAAAAAAAAAGCACTCTCCTCCTCTGGGCCACCAGTCTACTGCCCTTGCACAAGTCACTCCTGACATCCTTCATTTTCCTTATCTGCAAGATGAATTATATCCTCCAAAATTAATCACTTTGAGCCAATTCTCAGGATCACTGAACAGCCACTGTTCAGCATCTTGGAAAATAACATCCCCGAGCACCTCTAAAAAGTCACACTCCTGCATTTTGTGCTTTACATGGACAGATGATTTCAAACCTGGAAAATGCCACTTGGTTTTATACCAGAGAGTGCCTCTTCAGACATTTTCCAGGCGTCTCCAGTACCCATTACACTTCAGACCAGGCCCACCAAGAGATGATCTGGAATCAATTTTGTTCAGGAAGAATCCTCTTGCTCAGCAACTGACACAACAAAACAAACGGGAGACTGAATGGGCTGTTATCACTCTGCTCAGCCTGCCAAGCGCAGGGGTGGGCGAGACTCTCCTCTGGAGCAGCTTGTGCCCTGGTTTCGGTCACGTCAAACACTGCAAGCACCAGACAGAACACATTGAGAGCTGCACACAGTTGTGCATCGATTCCCATTAGCTTTCTGAACATTAAATGCTCACCAGAAGAAAGACACACTCACTTGTCAGTCGTGACAATCTGAATCCTGTAGTTGTCAGTCCTGTATATACTTTAATAAGATACCTCAAGAGGCTGGCATTTTTTTCCCCCCAAAAATTGCTACAATCACATTAGATCTACACTTCACCACAAGCTTCCTGAACTTTCTTTATTGCAAAAGGATCTTATTAGATCATTAAAATAATAAACTTACAAACCAGGAATATGATTAAGGGAGAAACAAACTGCTTAGAGAAGTCAAATGATGTGAGGGAGAGTAGAAATAAAGAAAAGATCAAGAACTGTGTGAGTGGAACTGATGATCCATCAGGCTACAAAATGAACATGGAACAAAAAACTACAGAAAAATCTGTTTTACCAATTCCAATCCTGGGAAGAAAAAATAAAGTAAACAAAAATCAAGGATGATATTTAGTACTATAAATACAGCTAACAGCAGTCACTCCAGCTGCTGCAACAAGCATACAAAAGTACATATAAAGGACAAAGAAGTTCAGTAGAGAATCTTGTGCTGATAACAGAGAAACATTAGCTCAGTATTACATGCAAGCATTGGAGAAAATGATTTTCAGTCTCTCCAGCAACATGTTCTTTGCTCCAAGAAGAGGTGAGAAGCCAGGCAAACTCTGCAGTCCAAGTATTTTTGTCTCCTGTTACTAATTTGTCCACCACTGACCAGTGTCCTGCCACCACAGCTGAGAGATCAACATTCCCTGTAACATCAGGGGACAACAAAAAACATGCAGAGACAACAGGAGGAATGATTCAAGCGTGAATGGGATCATGGCAATAGCATAGGAATTCAGCTACCTGAACCCCAGGAATAGTTACCTGAAATCTGCTTTTGACCTACTCAACATCTTTCCATTTTCCCCAAATCTAAAATGACATTCTTCTAACGTGGAAATAAAGGAAAAAAGTGGGTTTTATCCCACCAAGAAAAGTCATAGTCAAATGCTAGTTTGACTGGTGTGGAGGTGGTAGGGGAAGAATTCATCTCAACCATTACATTTTTCCACAATGATTTCCTGAGGAAATGGAATTTGGAGAATTTCCATGAAATTTTGGAGAATTTCTTCTCCAAATGAAGATGGCACCTCAAAGCACGTAAGGAACAAATTATGTACAAAAAGCTTACTTGCTCTAAGCTACACTCCCTCACAGATATGATGCGGCCTCCTGCCCTTAATTATTTTCAAGGCAATGTGAAGAGGCAGCTGGTAGAGCAGGAAATAATCACAGCCCCAGCCCTGCTACCCCCATTTAATTCTGATCATTTGAATGGGCTAGGAAGCAAGGACAGAGCTGGGTCACTGCTATTCCCCAGGTTAACAGTAACATTCCCTGCAAAAAGGCTCCTTCCAGCTGTTAGCCATTATCCCTCAGCAGCAGCAGGTGCTCCCAAAAACCAATAATGTAATTGGAGACTCTCATTAAAGCATCCTACACTTTGTTTCTGACTTCCATTGAAAAGGCAGGACAAGAGAAAATACACCAGAGAGAACACACACTGTGCAGGCACAGGGACTTCCAACTCACCTACCACTGAGCTTTGAAACACTTAGTTTACTTCAAGCTTATCTTGCCTTCTCTAATAAAACCCAAACAAAATCCCAAAACATTAAGTTGGGTTGGATCTTAAAAAAGCAAAAAATCAATTCTCATCTCAGTTGGAAGCTGCCTCCTATGCTCTCAGGAGGCTCCCTTAATCAGCCTCGCTCTTCAGCTTGCAGATATTTTTAAAAATTGTACACATTACCTCTTGCGTCATGCCTGAGAATAATACCCAGAAAGGACTGACAGTGAGGACAGTACGTAGCTAGGAGAGGCACACAAGTACTACCTTCCCCTGCTCACAATATAAGAGGAAAACAGTCAACCATAAGCCAAAGCTCAACAACTCCAGAGGAACCAAGAACAGATGAAAGGGAATGGTACACCACAGCTCCTGCCATCAGCTAATGTTTCCTGGTTTAAGCATTTTAAATGTTTCATAAAGATGCAATTTGAAAAGAAAATTTCTCATCAGGTAAGAGCCAGTCAAGAAAAGTCACACTAGAATTAGCAGATGGAATTTCACAATTGTATGTCTGTCTCAAGCCTACATGCAAGTTGGAAAAAAACACTCTGAACTTGGAGCAAATAGCAAGCAGGATCTGCTCCTCGCTATAAACGGGGTCCCTCTTTCCATGCAGTTCTAGAGGCTGTTTAAAAGCTCATATCAGTCTGATCAAGATCTGACCATTAAGAAATGTTCTTTACAGGCAATCCTTCCCATGTGGGGCTGCCCACACTACTGACTGACCACACCCTCAGAAGTCACCTTCAAACATCACCCAGCCTACCAAAATATTACCAAGGGATTTCTTAAACTGGAAAAAACATACCTATAGGCCACATCTGTTGTTTGTTAGCCAGTGTACTGACAGTATTATTTCTCTTTGCTGCTGCAAGGAAAATTTGAGATGGAAATATAAGCAATGAATGCTAACAAGAGATTGCAGAGACTGGAGAATCTGAACACCATTTTTGCAACCCCAAAAGCAGTCTGAAAGCAAGACCTCTGTCTTGCCAGCAATTTCAATCGTATCAGACAACTGGAGGAAAAGGGCAAGACCAAAAAAATAGATGACACACACAGATATGACTGAGGATACTGCTTATAAACAGTCTCTCTCTTTCTTACTCTCCCTTTGTGGTTTTGGTTTGGTGGGTGGTTTTTTGTTTTGTTTTTTAACCTGAGGTTAGGAAAAGACAGGTAGGTAGTTATATTTCCCCCTGAAGCATGAGTCAGCCTTTCCTCATGCGACAGCCTTGGGTGCCAAGAGCTGGAGCGTACAGCAACAGCACTGGAACTCAAAGTTCACAGAAAATTTGGTCATCTGCCACTTCACATCCACCAGCTGTCAGTGAGCAGCCCCAGATAAATTCGGAAGATGACAGCTAAAAGTGCTGTGACACTTTCCATAAAAATCAAGGCTGGATTAGAACAGAGACCTGTTTGCTAGTAGAGCTTAAAAACAAAGAAGTCAAGTGGGGTTTTTTACTCCAAAAAGCAGATCATGAATCCTGCTTCACTTAAAGCAAAACTAAGCATGCTGAGAAGCCACAGCATCTGCAATGAACTACAGGGTTAAAGAGATCTTACCAGCACTAAAACCTTATTATCACAAAACTCGCTTGCTGTTTATTCCTGTGCTGCACAGAATCAGTCCCTACCCCAACTCGTCCTAGTGTGCATATTACTCTGACAAAGAGACACACAGAGGAAGAATAATTGTGGGTTTTTTTACATAAGAGTTGATCTGAATTACATTTGACAGGCTATTTTTCTTTCTTCTGGGATCCGTAACACAAGGATGTCTACTTTGCACATGTGCTTCTCTATCAAATTTTGTGGAAGAGAATCACAAGAGCCACAAGGGCCTAACATGCTACTTGGGAGAGGCTGTTCACAACCTAGATAGGCTACTATCATCTCAAAACACTACAGTCACAAAAACAACCAACACAGAGACTACTCATCTAATGATTAGCTAAGTAAGACTAGCTGCAATCATCTTTTCCACCTGCAACACTGTGATAGCTGCCTTTCAGTCCTTTGATGGCTTTGGATATAAGACAGTAGATAAGCACCATCTGTTAATATTACTGAAGATGTTTAGCTGCTTTTTAACATAGTAAGTGCCATTCTGCAAATAAAATTCACATAGGTTTCAGGTAGCTTGATCTTGCAAGCTCAAATTTTACATCCTTCCTGGGAGAAAATGATTTATAAGCAATAGTTAATCAAACCATCTCCCCACCCTCAAAACTCAATACCAAAAGGATATGTTTTATATTTAATGACTGTTCAGAGAAGTAGCAAGGATAAGTCTGGGGAAAAGTTGTTTTAAATAACAGCTGCTCCAGCTGTCTATGCTTGACAGTAACAGCACACTGTAAGGACTAAAACTGAATCATAGAATCATAAAACAGTTTGGGTTGGAAGGGACCTTAAGGTAAGGTTACTCTCCTTTAAGGAGAGTTTCCTCAATGAAGTCAAATCACATATGCAGGACCAGGGTATTTGTACAGACTGGAGAACAACGTGCACCTCACTCCCTCTCATTAAAACAGCCCAGCCCCAGTATGTGTTACCATGAAGATGTGCAGTTCTACTACGAGCTCCCAAATCACCTGCCCTACACTCTTAAGACTGACTTCCCCCCTCCAATTTCAGAACAGGTATATGAAAACCAAGCTCCAGGAATATATCAGCCTGCCTTTTTAAGACAAATGAAAACCCATGCCAGCTCTGTAGTTCTTGTTTACAGGTAGCTTGCTGAATGCATCTGAAAGGTCTTTTTAAAAAGGGAGTTTTTTTCTTTGCCATAATATCTAACTGCTACTGTGATAGTATAAGAGAGTGACACAAGACAGGATTCAAAGTATAACTGCATTCTGACTAATGGAGATCAAGAGCCATAATTGTAATGAAGAAGCCCAAGTCAAGCTCTGAGCTAGCAGCTGTTTGTGGGACAGCAAGCTTAACAAGAAAAGAGAACCAAGCAATGCTTCAGAGCCAGCCATTAATCAATAGGTGCAAGCGTAGCAACTTCGCAAATGTGGGTGTGCAAACTGACCTCCAAAGTTGGCGAGCCGTCCGATCCTTGTGACAGGAACCTTCCTCTCCCGGGCCCGCTCACTGAGCTGCAGCAGAAAGAGGGGGGAAAGAAAAACAGAACAAGAAGAAATCCACAAATGAACTGAGCATATGGTCAGATACCTGCAGATTCAGGGTGCAACTCTGAAAGCACTTGAACAACTCTGTGCTACAGAATGCTTTTCTTGAACACCGAGTCTTACGTACGTTGAGAGATTTTGAGGTGAACACACTGCAGAAGAGACACACTGGACTGAAACATGCACTAAGCAGAGGAGTGGACAAGTGAGTGGGAAAGAAAAGCTGACAACCATGCTTAGAAACCCCATTTTTACTTTCACCTCAACAGCCCTTATATTTTGAACTTGGAGAAGCAGCGCAATGCCAACCCAAACTCCCTTCCACACATGGAATTAAAACTCATGGAAGGTTATCAGGTTCATGGTATTGTAAATGATTCCCCCCCACCAGAAGCATAGCTTCATCAAAGCAATATTCTGAGTGAACACACAGCAGCATCTGATACTGGATTTGGGGAAGGAGGCAGAAGGTCAGAGCAGACAGCAAGTATCTCCACTGTGAATTCTGCTGTGGCCTTTCTGTGCTGTCTCACACAACGGCATGAAGCCCTAAAGCAACAATTGTGAGCTATGCTACTCTCCAATCTACTAGTGCTCAGGGCAACGTTCTCTCTACCTCTAGGAGGGCTGCAATACACAGTACAGGCAGCCACAGCCTTCACCGAGAGGAGCTTAAGTCCAATTCATTCTTCACAGCTGTAGCAAAACAACTAGCTACAGGGAACAGGGCCCTTCAAGCAGACAAACTCTTTAGGTCAGTCTTCAAACCCTTTTATCTACAGCTGTCCCCACCTACTCAACATTTCATGCCAAAAACTGGTGTGAAATACAGACCCTTTATTACTGTAACACACACCAATGTATACATTGAATCCTCATACTCTAGTGAATGAAAGGAGAGGTCTTGTTAATATAAAACCAAAGTCTAACCCTGTCTATGCTTTTTAAACATCCAGTCATACCAAAATATCTGATATAGAGGGGGGAGGTGTGAAAGGAGAGCCTGAAAAGCTATTGACAGAATAAATATCACCGAGACTAGAGTTAAGGAGCACTGACACTTCCCTCTTTTGCCTCCACAAAAGGGAACAGCGGAAGAGGAAGAAATGAGAGAAACACAGGAGAAGGTGAGTAAGGACAATCCAGTATAGAAGCCACAGTACTGAGAACTCTTAATTAAAAAAACATACCATCTGTTTGTAGGGTTTCTGCTCTGAACCTGTTTTAGCCTGTCTGGCTTTATCAATATCTTCAGCTGTTAATCCACTAACAGAGGAATGGTCTTGGTGAAAAGCCCTATTTTGTCCAAAGGCAGCAGCAAAAGGATTTCCAGGGTCCCTAAAGCCTCCAAATAACCTTGCATCCATTTTCGGAGGGAAAGGCTTCTGACCCATGCCAGAATCTCCAGTCTCACCAACACTTCTAAAAGGTCCATTTGTAGTGTAAGAGTAAGCAGGGCCTTCACCACTGTGTTCATGAGCCTTGCCAGGGGCGGTGGAGAAGTCCATTGGAGCCTCTGATGTGTCTCGGGCTGAGAAGTCATAGTCTTTCCCAAAATCCTCACTGAGATCAGTTAAGTTCTCCTGCTGTTTGCCTAGTTCCTGCAAACAATAATAGAAATACTTTAAGAAAAGAACTTAAAACCTGTTCCCTCCCCATCCATGGTCCTCAGAAATGGGCATGCAGCTAGGCTGTCCTGTCTCTACAGTAAGTAATTTGTAGAGACTTTGGCACTGCAGACATTCACAGTAAGAGGCAGGAAAAAGGAAGAGACACTGAGGACACCTGGGATCACTGGCGGTCTTTCAACCCCACTGACAGGACAAATTCATTAACAGCTCCTCAAACACTAATAACTGGAGACCTTGGTGTGCCAGGAAGGTTCACTAATTGTGGAGTTACACACTGCTCAGAACCAACAGGTGATAGAAGCTGCAATATCGCTCAAGATATACTTAGGAGGGACAACAAAAAGCTAAACCTCATAACATTCAGTTCTTACCCCTACCCCGCTCCCTCCCAATCGTGCAATGTCAGCACTTTCAAGCCCAAAGCTACCTGAAGCAATAGCAGATACCTACTTATAGGCAAAGTAAGCTCAGCCTTCCACAGCCATGACAATAGCAACTGTAAAACACATTTCATTATTCGACCAGTAAACTATGGCAAGGCTTGTTGTCAAAGTAAATAAAATTTTGCGCTTGAAGCAAGGATAGCAGCATCAGACACAGCAATGCTCAAGGCAAGCTTCTCCTGACAGTCTCTGTTCTGACCTGGAAGAGTTGCCCCACTAAGTCCAGATATTTCCCACCACTTTTTGATGTAGGGAGAATAAAAAAAAGTCAGCAGCAGAGCGTTATCTCATATTTACTTGCTATGCAACATATTCTAGTTACCCATCTCAGCAGCAACAATGCCATGGAAGAACTGATGACTGTTACAGCCAATCAACAGGATTTTAAATCCTGCTGTGGTCAGGCAAGCAGGCAGCATATTTTAGGCTCTTTCCTAAACACTAATTACATTTCCCCTCCTTACAGAAAAAAACAGAACCTGGTCTTTCCTGTTATTCAGCAGGTCTCATGCTATTCTGAACCTCAACATTGGGGCGGGGGGGAGCAGAGGAGAAATCTGTTTACAGATGGGGACTGTGGCCACAATACTGACTGATGATTTCAAACAAGAAGGGCTCTCTACTTCCATACGTAAGTTTTAAAAAGCACGTCAGACAACCAAAACCCTGCCACAGATCAAGAGAAGCGAATACAGTCACTTAAGCATAAAAGCTTTCCTCTCTTCAAAACAGAAAAGTGTCATAGCTTCAGACTGCAAATTTATTACCGAGCCCTGCTTTAGCAACAGCTCATTTGCAATGCAGGACAAGTGCTCTGCAGGTGTGTTTGTGGGGCCTCTCCTGTGCAGATAAACACACACAGAAACAGAAGAACATCTTTTCTCCCTCTCTTTTCTTGGATGCAAAGGCAAGACATAGCACTATCTCCATAAACACACACGCTTAGATTATTTCTATTGCAAGCTTACATAGAACCAAGGCAACACAGGCCCAGATTCTAGGACTGAAGCTCTAGGAGACTTCCATGATAGTCTAAGCTTGTTCCATAAAAAACTCAAAGACTCACTCACTCATTAGTCTCTGCTTCAAAATGATTTTAGAGAAGTTCTTTTCAGACAATCACCATGTTTTCAAGAGATGGCAACACTGCAAGTGTGAAGCTCTTATAAATCCATCCCCATGTCTGGTAACAGAAACTGCTGCTTAATTAAAAAAAAGAGAGAGTCTGGATTTCCTCATTTGAAAAATCAGTTTGTGAAAATCCAGCCTGGGCTATAAGTGATTAACATGCAAACACGTGATCCTCAGCTATTCTGAAAAACATCTCATGTACCAATTCTGTAAAGAAAGGAAGAAGCACTGAGATAAATCTAATTCACTCTAGAAGAGCTCATTCACTTAATCAAAGGAGAGGTAATCAATGACTGAAGTTTGAAGGAGACTTTAAATAATAAAGCTACTGGCTGAGCTTGATCTTTGACAAGATGAGGCGAGCAAAGCACTTTTCATTTTCATCACATCTTAAACACTCAGTAACAGAAACACTCTGCAGTAACGTTCCCTCCCATTCCTTCCCAAGCGCCTACTGCGTACCACAGAAATCCTGGAGAGTTCCCAGAGTGTTGCAACATCTATATTATCAATCCAGCACTTCAGAGCTGGTTTCTAGTTCACGATGCAAGTTCCTAGCCACTCACACAACAAAACAAAAAAGTACCTGGAGGAAAAGCGAAACATCAGACTAGACTGTGCACAAAGAGCTTTGCTTACCTGCATTTTCCCCAAGGCAGAACTGAACCGTTCTTCAGCAGTGGCCTGGAGAGTCCTTGCAATGGTAACTGCATCGCCCCCAAGGAGCACCTGCCGAAGCTGTCCTGCTTGGGTTTCTAGGACTGCTTTACTAAGCTTTGTCAAGCCTCTCATGACCATGATGGCATCACCCGCCATGAGTGACCTCTTTCCGTGCTGAAAGATTAAAAAAAAAAAAAAAAAAGCAAGCATGACATCAGAGAACAAGTTTGCAACAGTTTCAAGTCACTGAAAATCCAGTGGCATATCCCAGACAATCTCTTTCTGCTTTGGCAACCAGCCACCACGGGAACTGGTTTGCAGCTCAGATAGCACACAGGCCAGCTTGAATGACAGCTAGTTAGCTGACCTGGCCAGGCAAAGCGAGAACGCTCCATATGACTGTTCGTGACTTAGGATAATGTTCCAGGACTTCACGTAAATATTCAATTTACCATTGACCAGGGGAAGCAGACAGGTAAATTTCAGTAACACTGCAAAGACGGTCTTGATTCCTTCCAAATTTTTACAAGGGATTAAAATTATTAGCATTTGACCTTTGATTATTATCAGGCCCTGGAACATATTCTCAGTGCCTGATCGTACAGATGAAGTGTGCTGACAACTGTCACATCCCACTCTTGCCCTGGAGCTATGCCTGCCCATTTTACATAGCCAAATTTCTTCACCCCTACATCAACGAGTAAGCTTTGTCTGTCCTCCAAGGGTAGTCTGCTCAGCCCTCAACTTCTAGCTTACTCTGTTACTTCTAATTGGAAATTTCAGTACACTCAGAACACCCACACAGCTTTTGCTAAGTACCACACTACAGTGCTTCATTTTTGACTTGGACCCCCTTCCTGTTCAAGAGGCACTCCATGTTAGAATCATAACAGCCTGTGCAATTTCAGTGTCCTCACATACAAACTGGGCACTGTAGGATGCAGGACAGAGCACCGTCCAAGAACAAGTTCCACCAACTCCTTTGTCTCCATCTAGAACCAAGCTCAGGCTCAGGACACCAGGTCTCCTACATCACTCTCGAGTGGTCAGGATGCCAAAACTGTTTTGCAAGGGAGGTTTTCACCTGCTTATTTCCCTCATCTCCCACATGTTTAAAGCACAGCCAGGGTCCCAGTCCCAGGGCTGGCTCAGTTGCACATCCTCCCACCTTTACTGACACAGAAGATGGAAGTCGTACAGTTGACACAAGATGCTGCCTGAGTTTCAAACTTAACCATAGAACATTCTCTGTGATGCTCTGGAGAAAAAAAGAATTCTGGCTGTAGTAGGTACCAAGCACTACCAAGGCCATATATCTAAGTTATTTCCTTGGTAGGTACGCAGGCACCAATTCATTTTTGGAAGATAACCTGTCAACATCCACATATGCACAACTGTAAATGTTAATAAACTGAAGCGGTACAAGTGATCCTGAGTCAACAGTACACACGGCATTACGCCCTTCGGCAGACCACAAGCAAGTGGATCCAGTTACCCTTCCAGGAAACGCAAAGCCTGTCTCACAAACATGTCTGCTGTATCAGTCACGCAGGAGAAGCGTGGACGTCTCCTAACTAAATTTCTGGATAAGCACACGATTCTGCTGCAATCCCACAGAAGACGCGCGGATTACTACAGTTGTTATTTCACAAACACGTTATTATGCAAATGCAGGGTAAACCCCAGTTACTGGAGTATTTGTTCAACAACTGTTAATCAGTGATCAAAATCAGGAACAACCGCTGTAGCCAGGAAGTGAGTATTGTACGTTATAGACTTTTAAGTGTGGTTGTTAGAAGGAGAGCCAAGTGTTTGCAATGCATCTGGCCTTAATGGGTTAGCTTTAAAAATAAAAATAAAAATCAAGCCTACCCAGGTCATTATTCTGTGGTTATCTTTACAAGACCTATCCAATATGCACCAGACCCCTAAGTAGTGTTAAGTCTGAATCTTTCCAGAGTTTAGCAGCTAGGGTTGGTTTTAAAATTGTATAATGCACTGTTGAACTTGAAAGCTGCCTGTCAGGTAAGGACATGTACTCTGTCAACAGGAGGTGGTTTCCCCCCGCCACCCCCCATCTTCATGCTGGAAATTTCCACACGGATCTCACTCAAAGCATTTGCAGGCAGTCCCTGCAATCCAGAGCCAGGCAAAGAAACCAACCAACACCACAGTACTGTCCTGGCTGCAGTGAGACCGTTCAAAGGTTGCCACTACTAAGAAGTAAGTGCTGCTGCAGTTGCAAGTACTAGAAGCACAGGAAAGCTTGAATGTGAAAAGTTTGTTCGTTCCCTCCCTAGAAGGGCAACAAAAGGCAATGCTATTGATCAATAGATCAATGTACACACAGACACCACCCACAGACACATCCACTTTTAGCATGGATTCTTTCCAGCCAACAATACTAAAAACCGTATCCTCCTTTCACCCAAAAACAGCTAAAGGATTCATCTTTAATTGACAGTTATTATACACTACATGTGCATTTAAAAAAAAAAAATCTTCCAACAAAATTTCAGGGGAGCTAATGCAACAACAAATGGAAAACATACATTGCACAATGCATGCTCAACCCCCCATTGCTAAATACATCAAGAAGCAAAGAGGACCAATTGCCCTTTACAGGTTTGGCTATAAAAGACAGCACTGGGCACATTGCTGCCAATATCCTTCCGACTTCCACGCCATCACCCCCGCTTCCCTCTGCACAGCAGTTATGATGACCTAGGTACCATGCAACTGGGTTGTTAGCTCAGAAGCATCAGCAACATGCTCCTGTGCAGCGCTTCCCAAGGACAGGTGAGGGTGACATGACAGGGCATTCATCCCAGCACCTTGCTGAACTACAGGCAGAGGTAGCAAACAAGCCTACAGGCTTGCTGTTTTCAATGATCTTTTGGATTCTCTGCAGGTAGCTCACAAACCCAAATGGAAACCACAGTACAAGCACATGGCTCAATAAGGACTTCGGAGGTCAAACCCAAGGAGAGTCACCAACAAATAATGCCTGAGAAGGAAGAACGTATTTTCAGAAGCGAGGCCATACTCTTGCTTTTTAACAGAATCATCTCTGTAAACCATCTCCTTCAAGTTCCTCATGTTTTGTACCCCAAGTCCTCACCTTTAACAAAACATGGCCAGGAAACAGCAGAGGAAAGAAAAATAACTATACTGCAGCAATGAATCCTTTGGCAACAGGCGTCAGGAGCAAGAAGACATTCCGGTAGTGTCTACACATCATGCAATATGAAGGTGGGAGGTAAAGAGTGCGATGAGAACTGAACTAATACTGGAGGCATTCTCCTCAAGTGGAAAAAATCCCAGGTTATCTAGTTTTGTAGACCTTGCATTTAGCAGGACACACTGGTTAGTCTCTGCTTTCTGTGTCCTTCCCAGGATAACTAACGAGGTTGTCACAACCAGAAGGGGAAATCATGAAAGAAAACACCTGCTAGTTAGTCAAGAAGGGAAGAAAATACACATAAAAACCAAAGAATTAGTAGAATTACCTTTTTTCTTCAATTAAAAAAAGCAATAAGCACCAGCAAGGAAGAGACACACTAAAACTGAAAGACAGAGGAAGCAAACACTTCCATGACCACTATGTGTCCAAGACCACTATGTGTCCCCAACACACTTGCATTAATAACCCAGGGCAGACAGGAGGGCAAGGAATTTATTTCCCCCCCCTACAGAAAGTTCTATTCATACCACTACTAATAAACAGCATAAGCAAGCTCTATCAAAAACAGATTTAAGGAGTGGATTCAAACAGAAGGTACAAAGTCTATATCACACTTGACTTGTCTCCTAAGGACTCGTTATTTAGCACTAGCAAAATAGGGCACTTCCTGCACAGAGTACGGACAAGCTGGTTGTGTCTACACAACCTGCCCGCGTGCCTGCTAACCTGGACTGAAGAGGGCTGGCAAGTGTCAATCATGAGCTATTTTCTAAGAACAGGCAGGGTCACAGTTTCTGCTTAGTGAACTTTTCACAGCTGAATGAATCTCTGGAGAACACCCACACCTTCTAGCATGAGCAGGCTCCTCACACCAGACCCCAGACATCAGAGAAGTGCACAAGGCAGGCAGAGGGGCTGCAGAGGGGCACATGCTAGCATGTGCTTCTGCAGACACACAGACCAGCTTCTGACTCCATTTGGAAAGCTTTTTTCCAAATGCTTGTACAGTCAAAAACCTGACTCATATATACACATGCGTAAATACACATAGGATGGACCACATTTAAGCACAAGACAACTTCTAATCATACAGAAATATTTCTGAAAACTTTCTGTGCATGACAACACAGCCTCTTTCAAGGTAAGGGAATTACTTCTACCATCGACAGTTTACTATCTACATAAGAAAGCAGCTCACCTACTGTTTAATATAAAAAAAGAAAAAACAAACAAAAAAATTCCCACAAAACAAACAAAACCACAAAAAAACCCCACCAAAACAGTTTTACAGTAGCCCACATTTCACCTCCCAGGTCTGTAGAAGTTTTAGCTGCCTTCTTTATTTCCAACTTTTCTTTCCAAATGAGACAAAAATGAAAAATATTAGGCTAAACAGGTAGTAAGGCAGGTAAGTTTTCTTTGGAAGCGTGATATTTAATTGAACAGTCTCTATGCCTTCCCCCCTTCCTATTATCCATTATCACAATCACTGTTATCTTAGTTGTATCTAAACAAGGAGTATAATCCTAGAATTGGTGTTACAGCCACCTATACCATCAGTATGAAATAAAAATAATAACCACCACAAACAAGACACAGATGACCAGGTATTCAGCATATTTGTTCTGTGGCCATGAACCAGCAATAGACTAACTTCAAAATAAGTATTATTCATTAAGCTGTTCTGTAACTGATCTTTTTCAGATTTTTCCATTTCTTTTTATGTGTGTTGCCATACCAACCTTTTCATGTTATTCTTTCACTCATAGCCTTTTTCAGTTCCATCACACACATCTCCACCAGTTCCTTTTATACCACATTTCCAGGCCCCTGCTTAGACATCTTTTCATTAGCCGGATTCCTTGGGTTGCAGCTGACCCAAGTTTCAACCATGCAGTGCACAGAACAAACTGCATTTTAAAAGAAGGTTGCTATCATCCTTCAAATCAAACTGAAAATCTACCTTGCTTATCC